ATTTTTTACTTGTATAAGTAAACAGTATGTTATAAACAAAATATTTAAAAACAATAAAAAAATGTAAAAAATAAGACTATAATATTATAAATATATTACAAATCAACAGTGTGGAAATAAAGTAACCTTTTCCCTAAGTAACATCGTCTACAAAGGGTGGGGCCACGGAGATAAATCAAACTCAAAAGGGAGCCACGAGCAAAAAAAGGTTGATAAACACTGTGTTAAATGACGACAGACAGAAGATTCTATGAAACTCTATTTATATATACAATATAATGCTTTAAAAGTTGCGGTTTAAATTCCGAAAACCAGCGAAATATTGGAACTCAATGGGCCTAAACTTTTTTATAAAAACAAGTATTAAACTGCACATATTTTTGTCTTGTGAATCGTAAATTTTAATGCTTTATACTGCATATACAAATAGCGTTCACAGAGCATTTTGTCTCTCATTACACAGCCTAACTGAAGCCTATTGGGTATTGATTTATGGGAGTTAAATGATAGATCTGAAATGTTATTTTTAGGGCTAATGGGTATCCAATATTTCGCCGACTTTCGGCGTTTAAACTGTAAGTTTTAAAACAAAATGTTATTAACTCATTAACTCTTTTCATTTACCACCTTACAGTTGTCACTTAATGACTGATGGGGATAAGAGAGTCTTCCTTTAAAAAACATCGGCACGGGATAATAGCAAAAAGATTCTAATTCACGCCCGCACAGGACAAAGACCACGGGTATTCAAATTTAACGCTACAGTTCAGAAGAAAACGTTAAAAAGAATGTGTTGTAAAATCCAACGTAGAATAAAAAAAAATCAATTTTTACAAACAACTAAACAGTCTCAATAAAATATTTAGATACAAGGCCTAACTGACACGAATTTCTAGCTGTATCCTGTAGGTGTGTACAGCTTGAGAAAAGGTACCTCTTTGCGACAGCTGTTTAACAAGAATATCATCATAACACCTGCACGAAATGTAAAAGGAAGTACGTGAACATATCTAAATAAGTACACATTATCAACTAGTTATGGAAGTGTGGGGTTCATGATTATATTACACTTTCTTTACTTAGTCAATAAGTATACATTCTCAACTAGTTATGGAAGTGTGGAGTACTTATTGACTAAGTAAAGAAAGTGTAATATAATCATGAACCCCACACTTCCATAACTAGTTGAGAATGTATACTTATTGACTAAGTAAAGAAAGTGTAATATAATCATGAATACATTCTCATATAGTTATGGAAGTGTGGGGTTCATGATTATATTACACTTTCTTTACTTAATCAATAAGTATTCATTCTCGACTAGTTATGGACGTGTGGGGTTCATGATTATATTATATTACACTTTCTTTACTTAGTCAATAAGTATACATTCTCAACTAGTTATGGAAGTGTGGGGTTCATGATTATATTACACTTTCTTTACTTAGTCAATAAGTATACATTCTCAACTAGTTATGGAAGTGTGGGGTTCATGATTATATTACACTTTCTTTACTTAATCAATAAGTATTCATTCTCAACTAGTTATGGAAGTGTGGGGTTCATGATTATATTACACTTTCTTTA